GTGTGTGTGTGTGTGTGTGTGTGTGTGTGTGTGTGCTGAAGATGAGATTTATCACTTTTTCCTTTCCCTCCCACGCAGAGTCAGAGCGGAATGGACCTGAATCAAATCACCAGGTAATATCTGTGATGCTTGTGATTATTACAATTAGCTCCCACCACCTTCACCTACAGAGCTGATCGAACAAAACGATAAAAGAAAAGCGAAAACCTTATTCTTATCAGCTCATAATGGGTTTTGTTTTCAAAACAAGGTTGCTGTTAAGAACATGTCAGAAAGCAGAACAAGAAAAGAATTTACTAGAAACGCTTTCGCCTGTGTTCACCTGTCAGTATTGTTAGTAAAATATCTCGTAAACTTCTGGTCAGATTTTAATGAAACTCTAGGAATTTATTAACTGAGCATCTAATTAATCAAACTGAGCAAACTCATAAATGTCAGTTTTATAGCTGCTGATATTGGGTGTGATAGTAGCTGCGAGTCATAGGCAGTGAAGGCAAATGCTAAGGGGGCCATCCATTCAGGGGGCGCCACAAATTGTGGGGCAAAAATAAATTCTAACTTTTTGCTTAGAGTATAGTTGATTTAGTCTGTATGATATTCACTGATTAATCAAGTTTATGAAGGTAACTTGTTTTGTGGGTTTCTTATTTGCTTTGTTACTACATGAGGTCAAGACTAACTCCTGGTGCTCAGAGTGTAAATAGAAAACAAAATAAGGACAAAGGACATTCAAGTTCTGATCTCAAATGAAGTTCAGGTTAAAGTCTGGTTTTCAGTTTTTTATCTTTACAAAAAGGTCTAGAAAATGTATAGTTTTGAGTCGATCTTTTACAAAGTTTTCCAGGGGATTATATACCCCTGGACCCCCCTAGAACTGCTTTAGTCCACAGCTTCTGGTTAACATGAACAGGTGTTCCTTGTTGCTGTCAGCAGATGTTGGTAGGTATGAGGTAGACTTCTGGTGTTGTGTTTCAAATTAGTTATATTGTTAACTGTTAAGACAACTGGGTTTCTAAAGATAAAAAAATAATTAAAAAACACAAAATATTTAATGTGAAATGTGAATGGATATAAATTGGCAGTGAGATTTAGAAAATAACTAACTAGTCAGATGAGATTAAAACTGTCTGTTAGCAAAATATCTAACAACAAATATCAACTCAAGAAGTTTCGAAATTAATCCAAGTCAAGACACCACAGTTTATTATACTTAGAAAACACAGGCTAAAATGAGCTATTATTAAACTCTGGCATGGAAAGTAGCAGGTGATATGCAATCCTTCAACAAACAAAAGCACTCAGACTTTTATATTAGGCATCTAAAGTCATTAAGATAGTTGAACATTCTTTTGTGTTTTTTTTAACATTTTTTTTCTAAGGCTCATTCTATGAAAATCAGCCCCTTTCCTCTGTCACCAAACCTGAACAGCAGCAAGGTGAGCGCACTGTTGTGTGTCGTCATTTTCTGAGCTGCCTGTGCATGTCTGTTTGCGATTCTGAGCCCGATGTTTGTGCATCTTTTGTATCCTCAACGTCGCATTTTAGCTGTATTAACAGTGTGACCGCCGCAGCTTTGTATTAATTTCTATGCTCTGAATCGCTCTTTTTGTGGTGATGGTCAGGCTGGCGATGTGTTGACTCTTCAACCAGTCCTAAATGTAATCAAATTCAATAAAGAAAAAAAACAGGGTATGATGGCGCTCTCTTTTCACAAAGCCTTTAGAGAGCTAAAGTAAATCTTAAAGTTTACTTTTCTCACCAAAATAGAGAGAATGAGATCTAATTTGCATACCACAGGAGCTATGCAAATCAGAAAGCTGGAAGAAGATCCCTCACACCAGTTTGAACATGCCTTCTCTTTTATGAGAGGAAAAACAAAGACTGGGAATACAATTCTGATCAGCTTACCAGTGACAGACTGTGGGAATTATTTGAGTTGCTTCCCTGGTCCTAAGAGAGCTGCTGGTCAGAAAGGCTTACTTTATTTTTGTTAATATAATCGGCTATAATGAAATAATAAGCTAAATTCAGTATAACTCAAAGCGTCTCCCATATTTGCTCCTGTTTTTCCAGAATAAGATGGATGAGTGTGCTGAAATGTCCCCAGGCCTTCCTCCTTCTCATGGCCCGACCCCCTCCCAAACAGCCCTGCAGCACACGCAGCTCATGCTGACAGGCTCGCAGCTGGCAGGGGTAAGACTTGCCTCACCAAATCTGAAACGACTTAGCTTCGCTTTTACCTTGCTTGCTTCTCTAAACACTTTGCTTCCCTCTTTTCTTCTTTGCCTTTAACTTCCTGATCCTCTCCCTCTCCTCCGCCGTCCCTCCTCCGACCAGCTGACAGCTTTACTGCCGGCGCAGCAGCAGCTGCTGCTACAGCAGGCTCAGGCGCAGCTCCTGGCCGCCGCCGTGCAGCAGTCCAACGCAGCCCACGCCGCTCACGCCGCTCACGCCGCCGCTCAAGCCAATCAGCAAGCTCAGGCAGCTGCGGCGGCAAATCAGCAGGCCCAGCAGCAGCAGCAGCAGCAGCAGCAGCAGCAGGCGGGACAGACAGGGCAGCAGCTGCAGCCTCAGGGACAGGGACAGAGCACACAGGAACCAAACAGCCAAAGTGTCCCTGTCCCTCCACCTCAGCTCACCCTGTCCCAGCCGATCCAGCTCACAGCCCAGGTACCGACCGCCAGTCCCCGCTGCCTCCTGGTGACTGGCTTCATTCAGGAACTCTCTCCAAACCAACCGTCTTGCACATCTTTTACAGTTTTTATCATCGACGCTGCTCCTAAATTCTCCTTATTTCTTTGTTTTTACCTTCCTGTTGTGTTCTGTTCATCCAAATCTGCTTTCTGACTCTTCAACACGCTGCTTTAAATCTATCAGTAATGACCKGTTCTTTCTCCTGTCTGCTTCTCCGTTGAGCAGGACATTCAGCAGCTGCTGCAGCTTCAGCAGCTGGTGTTGGTGCCTGGTCACTCGCTTCCATCACCAGCCCAGTTTCTCCTCCCCCAGGCCCAGCAGGCCCAGCAAGGTGAGGCGCTCCCTTCTTTCTTAAAGGTGGCACRTCATGAAAACCCACCTTTTGAGCTGTTGGATGCATTTTGTTGTGAACTTGGAGTCTCTAGGAGGGCAGAAAAGTTGAATTTAGTCTCTCCCAGTGGATTCAAAGTGACAGCATCAAAACGAGTTGATCTGAGATGCARCTCAGAAAAGGGGTGAAAGAGGGGCTTGTGAAGTTACAAAAAGGAGGAATTCAGACTAAAGAATTGCAGTTCCACCTTATATAGACCCCAACTGATGATTTAAATGTGAAAAAGAAGGATTTAAAAGCACAAGTCTCTTTTAATTTAATCAGTTTTAGATTTTAAAAAAAATCCCTCATATTTGCAAACAACAATGTGCTCTTTTGTTTCTCTCTTTTTTCAGGACTTTTATCAACACCAAATCTTATTCCGCTACCTCAGCAAAACCAAGGGAGCCTCCTCTCTGCTCAAACTAGAATGGGACTCCAGACACAGGTAGGAAACTTTAATGTTTCAGTCAGCGGTAATAAAAACCTTCTCCATGCAGCAGCAGCAGCAGAAACTCCTCTTCCTCTCCTGCTCTGTCAGGTGCAGCGAGATAAGAGCGTGGACGTGAGTGGCAGCGGAGGTGTGACCACGGTGCCCCCCGTGACCTCTCACCCCGATGAGCCCAGTGACCTGGAGGAGCTGGAACAGTTCGCCCGCACTTTTAAACAAAGACGCATCAAACTGGGCTTTACACAGGTGAGAACTACACCTGTGTCGTTAACTCTGAAGGTCAGGGTGTGGTTTTTTTTTTGGCTCGTCTCAGTTCAGTATTGTTTTGTTTTCCACCCGACAGGGAGACGTAGGCTTGGCGATGGGGAAACTGTATGGCAACGACTTCAGCCAGACCACCATCTCTCGCTTCGAAGCTCTCAACCTGAGCTTTAAGAACATGTGCAAGCTGAAGCCGCTGTTAGAGAAGTGGCTTAATGATGCAGGTGAGCTGGAATCACCGGTGTTTTTATAACCCACATGGGTTCCTGATCTTTTATCAAACAGGGACTCTGAATTTGTCCCCACAGAGACMATGTCCATAGACAGCACCCTGCCCAGTCCGAGCTCCCTGTCCTCACCCTCTCTGGGCTTCGATGGGGTTCCAGGTCGCCGCAGGAAGAAGAGAACCAGCATCGAGACGAATGTACGCGTGGCTCTGGAGCGAGCATTTATGACGGTGAGATATTGTTTTTAAATCCCTTAACGTCTTTTTTTTTCATTAACTTTGTGCAACCTTAGTGTTTAAAGAAACTGGCTCAGCATTTATTCTATTGTTTTCTTGCCCTTTATTTATTTTTGTGGGTTATGCAGTCTTACTACTTTGGCATATTTTGTATTACTTTAACCTTTCATTTATCAAAACTTAATCAGGAAATATCAGCAAAGTCACTCAGCTCTCAGCATTCAACCAGCATTTTCACAGAAAATGCTGTTTCTCAGTGGTGTTGAACTCATTTTCACTGAGAGCATCATTGGGTCCATCAAAGGGACAGTAATAACTTCAAAGTTTCATGTTTAACGTCCTCATTTCATTGCTACAGCTGAGCACCTCTAACAAACAATAACTGAGCTCTACGTGGCATTTCCTGCATAGAAACAGTGTTTTAACATGTCCTCTTATAAACACTGAAAAGAACATGTACAACTGAGTAAATGTGAAATCAATACTACCAAAATACTATTAAAATAAAATAAGAGAGTTTTACTCACTGTTGAGTTGCAGTGAGTAGTTAGCATCTTGAATTCTGAACTTGTCCACTTTCTGATAGAGAACTCCCATGCAGCATAATCAACATGCATTATGGGAGATGTAGTTTATGGACAATGCTGACTTTAAAGCAGCTTATTTTGAGACATTAATAAAGGGCTATTCAACAAAATTTCTCAGAGGGCCACAGTTAGATAAAGCCAACAGCTCAGGAGCAGGATAAGTTTTATTATAATATAATATAATAT